TTTGGCTTTGAATTTTTAGATGACACAATTTAAGCAAAGATGTGCTTGGTTTCATTGATGTACATGTGACAAGTATAAATTAAAATATAACAACATTACCCCAATTTAACTCCAAATCTACTGTACCTTCTGGTTTCAATATTCTAAAAGATTGAGTAATTTGGCTTCCCATCTTCATGGTCTTGAATGTTCCTGATGAAGGTTAACTTAGACACAAGTCATGCACACAAGAAATTGACATTTTTAATTAAGTGAAAATTTATATCATACCTCAACTGATAAAATACCTGTGTAAACACCAGCCAGCTAACAACAAAGTATAACAAAACTAGTCAATTCAGTACCATGTGTGGATCCAGGATTTAGAAAAAGGGGGGACGGTCACACAAATCAACATTAGGAGTGGGATTTGTAAAACGTCTATGCATTAACCATATATGTAGCTCCATAGGCGCACCCCCTAAATCTGCCTCTGAGTACACTTAGGTCACAAAACTACATGTACACTTTATGAATAATAAAGGAACTGATTTTTCACTCAGTTTATAGTGGCTACTTGCTCTGCAGTTGCAGTTTATTATATATTGTATATTCAGAATTTAGGGTGATGTTTTATCCAGGCAAAAAGTGTGACCATTGGTTACAGGATAAAGTTACAAAAAGTGAAACTACCATTTTATTTTATTTTAAAAATTATTACTGCAGGATCAGCAGAGCATAAAGTTATCAGGCATTATAAGAGATTCTGCCTCTGAAGAAGGTCAGGCATTAATATTATCTTCAGGCGCTGTTAGTATTTTGCAACAACGTTGCCTATCCTAGTTATGTAAAATTAACAGAACTAAAAATACACACCTTAAGGTGGTACCAAACACCTCGACTAAAATTAATTTGGCTCGTTTAATTTTCATAAAATTTTGACAAAATATTTACTTTGACCCTTTGACAAAAATATTAAAAAAAAACTTGAACCACACACTTTATCAGAAAATTTTCATTGGATATATAGCTATTTGACAAACACATTGAAATGCTGAATATTTCCTTAACAATAGAACATGATTAAAATGTTCAGCTGATTTTTAACAGAGTTATCTCCCTGTAGTGTTATGTACCACCTTAAATTATGAATATACAATATTATATTGTGTATTTAAGGTCAGTATTTTAATTAGTTATTGAAATGTAATATAATGTAAATTAATTTTTAATTAAGATATTTTGCTATAGTGCTTATGCTTGAATTTTTTGTTACATGCAAAATTATTATATGTATATTAATATTTGATATTATCTGTATTATTCTAACAAAAGTTCATACTATTTCAAAGAAAACCAACAAAAATGTGTGCCATAGTACCAACATAACTAAAATTTGAGGGTCTGAATGGGGGTCCTTCATGTCTGTATTCTTTATTTTTTTTAGACCATTTGTCTCTATTCTTTATACCTCTTGCCCATTATTCTTTATATTTTAGCACCTCATTATTCTCTATTCTTTTTTTTTTTTGGTACATTTTTCTCTTTTCTTTATATTTTATGCCGATTATTCTCTATTCTATAAACCCCCATCCACACCCTCAAAATTGTGTATAATTTTAAACGTATGATAAAATTTCAGTTCAGCTGTGCTCGATCTAATCTATATATTTTTTGCAACCACTAGGTATCTGTTGTTCTTTTTATTGTTTGCTTTCCAATTCCGACTTTGATTCCAATTTTAGAGTATTTTGCAAAGGGAAACAACACTAAGGTATGACATACTGTATCCCTGTCTATACAAACCTTATGGAAAAAAATCATGTTTTGATGGTTTTGATGTACACAAGCTTTTATATATTTTCATTACGTAATCACCTATTTTGCAATCCCATTTTTACCATAAATGTGTTAATTGCTTATGCAGTTAAAAATTATTGTCAGTTCCCGTATAATACACCAGATTCTTTCCGCTTGCTTTGAATGGGCAGGGATACAGTTTGTCCTTTCCTTTACAAAAATTATTAAATTGGAAACAGTCTGTAATTGGCTAATGAACTATTTCACAATTAAAATGGTTGTTATACCAATTGATTTTGTTTTGGAGAATAATCTTGTTTGCCTTGAGGAAAACAATAACTGTATTAATTTGGCCTACTTTGATCTGATTAGATTAGTTTACCAGGTGAGCTATTTTTGTAAGTTTACCAGGTGTGCTAAATAGTTTAGTTTACCATGTGGTCTAACTAGGTCAGTTAAGTAGGTGAGCAATACACAATGTTAAGCTGACTTAGAAGTAAAGTGCTTGTAATATGTATATAATTTGCAGCTGTGCGATGCAATTCAGTTTGCTCTTTTTCAACCAATCAAATCCTTAGATGATGTTCCTAGATTTTCATTCCTAACATCTTAGTTTTTGGGGGAATTGGGGATTTTTTCATTTTTATTTAGTTCATATATTATTGTCTGTACAATTTTTCTCTCTCTCAAAAAAAGAAATCTTTCAATGAAAAATAATCTATGAATTCATGTAAAACGTAAAACAAAATATACAAATAGATAGCTGCCTAACAAAACAAAAACCAAAATGCAATTGAAAGGTCAACATATGGTCTTAAAGGTTATGCATATGTCTTTATTAATATGCAAAATGCAAAATCGCCCATAATCTAGATAAAAAATAAAAAATGAAAATATAGACCTTAAAGTCATAGATTTTAAGATTACTATTCAGTCAAGACATTTCTGCAAGTTCTTGCTTTTTTTCTCTCCAAATGATGGGATGAAAATCTAGGAATTGGCTTCAGGATCTTAAATTAAGGTAAAATTTGGTGATACACAATGTATAAAAACTTATTGTTGATGACTAGCTGAACTTAGTTGCAAACCTTGCATTACATTGTATTGCATAGAACAATCACTGTTGTCATTGTATAAAATATGAAATAATAAATATATAAAGAGGCACATTTAGTTTTTGTTTGTGTATATTTTCATTTATATATGTAGAAGTCTATAAAAAGGACTAACAAGCAAATTTAATATGTACCGCATCGTCTAGGATACTGTACAGATAAGGAAAAATATAAAAGTCTTAAGAATTGCACATTTTTCTCAAGGTACTACTGAATTGAACAACTTCATACATGGTCAGCAAATTAAGTGAAGAGTTGTAACCTGTGAGCACATTTCAGATCTGTCAGACACCTTCTTCCCGTTTGCTGATACTCAGAATGTTTAAATATGTTGAATGGACTTAAGCAGAACAGAATGACTAAATATTTAGTCAGAAGTAATGTGTGAGCACTGTGATATTATATATTGTAAGTGGGAGTATGTTTGGGACAACACCGCATACAATCTTGTTTTATTCCATCAGAAATATAGCCCAACAATGTTAAATCAGCAATTTCCCCAGACTACTCAGCCAACTTGTGTATACAAACATAGCTTTCCTAAGTTGAGCAGTGCCTTTCCTTGTTGGCTTCATCTAGGATTGTAACACAGTACATGGTGTACTAATAAAAATAAAATAAATTAATATATAATTTTATAAAAAAAAATTTTTTTTTTTTTTTTTTTTAATTTTATAAATGTATACTACTTTTCTGATAGAATGATATTGTCTTTCAAAAACCAATTCCGGTATGATTGTCTGTTCCATATTTTGTTTACTGGTAATAGACACAGGGGAGACAATTTAAATTTAAATTTTTGGATGAACTCTGTTTAAGGGAGGTTGTATGTCTCAATCCATATTGTAACTTGGTTGAAGGTCAATAAGTCAATAAAAAGAGGTCAGTTTTACTTCAATGAGACAGCAACCCAATGATACAAATAACCAAAAGATTTGTAAAGGTCAAAATAAAGTCTATAACAATAGATAGGCGTCTATGTCATAGAACAGAATTATCTTTTTAATATTAGTTCATTGGAAGAAACATTATTTTAACTAGAAGAAATATTACAATATTTGTTCCTAGCTGAATAAAAGGTATAAATATTTGTTCCCATAGGAATGTAGCATTGTTTATATCAAAATTTTCAGCGAAACTTGTTTTAGGAGTAACAAAGTATAACAATAATACCCAACTCCAAGACAAATTCAAAATGTGGAAATCCATAAAATATACTTTGATATCGGTATGCTTCATTTCTTGAACTTGTAAGACTCAATTTGGCATTTTTCTCCATTGTTGAATTATTGCAATAATAAATGGACTCGAAAATTTCAAAATTTACCCTATATGTACTGTCAATATCGTCTTGTACTCCTGATCTGACCTATCTTTTAGATTATAGATATGATCACTTGAATAAGTGTCAGAATTTTGTATTGGCCCAGGGGGTATTGTCTTTGGGTGAAATGTATTACATGCTATACAGTATGTAGTGAAATTCTGTCAACTATTTAAGATAGAGAAGTTGAAGAACAGTTCAATTTATATATGACATCTAATCTGGGACTATTATACTATGTTAGTATAATACTCCCAGAACTAATGGACAACTTGAGGGATAGTGGGGTATTTTTCTGTGACCCTTTTGGGTAGTGACCTCTAAGCATGCTAATGAATGGATTCATTTATGGGGTTAAAAAGAAAAGGAAAATTTAAATATTGCCAAACTTCTATTAACAATATTTGTATACAATTTATATATTCATACTTTGCACACTGGAGCATGGATTTGAATCAATTAAATAAAAAGTTTTTATGAGGTAATTACATCCAATAAAGGATTTAAGATCTCCTGTCAATGATCAGTATTTACACTTTTGGTATTTAGCTATATTTTGCCTCCGAATGACCTTAGATCTACTCCGAATCACCTTTTGACGTCAGGCAACAATCACTTTTTAATTGTGACATCAAATGTTTTGAATTATGATGTCAAAGTTTACGGGAACCTGTGTGATTTTACGTAATGGCGGACAAATTTGCATACAAGTGTAAATACGTCTATTATGGCGGCCATATCCATTCTGTTCTTTGTTATTAATAATTCATAAAACACTCATATTTATATAAATATAGAATTTATTGCATAAAAAGTTTTCAAATCTCTACACAGCACTACATAAATACATGATGTAAATAATACTATACATTTAATTTTTCTATAGTACCAAACTAAGAGTATTTACTATTAAAATTTAGGGAAAGCTTTTTCCTGCTAGACTCCAGCAGCTCTCTTCACAAAATATCTTACAACAAAAATTGATCATAAGTTATACTGAAGTGTTCATGACTTGCAAGTGTTTTTTCTCATAATATTTTTTGTGAAATTAGTTGCTGAAAATAAAATACAAAAATTTAAAAAAAATCTGACTTCATTCCTATTGAGAAAGACAGAAAAAACTCTTTTCCAGTATACTTGTTATTGCACTATTATCCATTTTCTATGCATTCAAGTAACTTAAATTTTGTTCTATTGAATGGATGGAGTTACTTTTTTTTTTGGATTTGACAATAAATGTTCCTCGCTGCTAAAGAATCATTTTCAAATTAGCTCTCCAAAATTTCAATCTTTGAACAATACCACTGATACACTATAAACAATTTTAAATGATTTTGCCATCATCTTTTAGCCACTGAAGATAATTGGTCTCTGATTTTTGAAAGTCCATCTAACATCGTATCTAGGGTCTCTTTAGAAAGTTCTACATTAATATTGGAAATATCGGCTGTTTGACCAACTTTGTCCGAGTTCTCTTGCACCTGAAAATACAAATATTTTGAAGTCAGTAAGTAAAGGAATAAATGCAGATTCTATGGGTTCATTATAACTCATAAGGCTACTAATTTCCTGGAATTTCTATTGTATAGGTGAACAAGAAAATATAGAAATTTCACTGTCAATAAGAATTAGAATAAAAATTGTCGTTTTTGGCATGAGTCCTTTCTAAAGGTTGCCTAAAAACAATTTCATGAAATAGCTGGTTTTTATTGTGTTTTATCTTTAAAGATATACTAGGGGTGACACAGGGTGTTCATTTCCAGAATTCAACTTTTTTTGTAATTTTTTCCCATTTCCACTTTTTTTACCCCCTTTATCCTAACATCCCCATTTTTTAACCCCTATATCCAACATCCCAAAAGTGTGTGGTCCCCCTTGATATATGGTCTAGTTTGGCACAGGTAGAAGTTTTGTGTGCATATAAAACTGGTTTAATACTGGTTTCAGTGCCTGTACCTAGTCAGACTATCTGGAACATGTGTAGTTTTAATATTGTTGTTTGTCTTTGTTTATAAATGGGTTTTTCTTCGAAGGAGTTTTGTGTTGGTGCTTAGTGTGGTCTATTGTGCTGTCCAATATTTTTCTGTTCTCCTTTTTATGGTCAATATATTACATTGTTTAAGAAATTAAAAGAATATTTGTAATTATTTTAAGTAAACATCAAACAAAACTTACACACTTTTGTTAGTCTGATTGACACATACCTGCATCTGTAATATACAAGTTGGTACAGACATCCGACTAATTGCATCTGATGCTGTTTTCACATCTACTCTCCAATCAAAATCAACCAATCTTGGTAAAGATACTGAAAGTTATAAAGACATTATATGATTTGAAGTCGGATGGCACATAAAGACATATATAGGTGTGTACATCCTATGTCGATTATATAGGTGTGTACATCCTATGTCGATTATATAGGTGTGTACATCCTATGTCGATTATATATGTGTGTACATCCTATGTCGATTATATATGTGTGTACATCCTATGTCGATTATATATGTGTGTACATCCTATGTCGATTATATAGGTGTGTACATCCTATGTCGATTATATAGGTGTGTACATCCTATGTCGATGCTTTTATTATGGTATTGCACAAGGTCATGCTTTCCTTATATAAATAAGAAGATGAGATATGAGTGCCAATGAAACAACTCTCCATCCAAGTCACAATGTATAAAAAGTTAACAATTATAGGTCAAAGTATGGCCTTCAACACGGAGCCTTGGCTCAAACCGAAAGGCAAGCTATAAAGGGTCCCAAAATGACTAGTGTAAAACAATTCAAACAGGAAAAACCAATGGTCTAATCTAAATAAAAAATGAGAAACACTTAAGAACCATATCAACAAACGACAACCACTGAACAACAGGCTCCTGACTTTTGACAGGTGAGACTGTTTACATCATCTTTTAAACTAAATCAGTTTGATACATTCTGATTGGTATTTTAGTCTGGGAAAACTTAGTTTATTTAGTTTTTGGAAATTTGCTTTAAACTAGCATTTAGTATCTTCTGTGCCTTAGTTATATATATACTTTGTAAATTTTGTCCTATCGTTAGTTTTTTTTTTTTTCTTGTGCTCCCGTGCCAATATGATTAGTCAACCCTTTCCAACTGATTTTTACAGTTTTTTCTAATGTTATGCTGTTACATTATTGTAAGAGGAGGGTTGAGCTGTCATGGAATAGAAGTTCCTTCATAATATAAGTTCCAAATGGAAACAGTAATTTCTGGAATATTATTTCCACTGGAATGAATATTACAGTAAATGTTCCTAACGGAATAAATGGTATAGAATATTTGTTCCAACAGGAACAGATATTATGACATTGTTTATAACAAAGTTTCCAGTGGAACTTCTGTTAGGTGGAACAAATATACGTTGACAGAGCACTCACAAACATGTTTAACCTTGCCATGTGCTTGTCCCAAGATCCTGTAATTCAGCAGTTACCATATTTTTGCCATATTTGTTTCTTGTATATAGTTTTTAGCATAAATCAGGCCATTGGTTTTTCTCTTTTAATTGTTTCACATTTTTTTTATTCTGAGGCCTTTAATTGCTAAAAATACAGGAGCCTCGGTGGCTGAGTGGTCTAAGTAGTCAAACCACTGTATCACTAGCCTGTCAACACCTAGGTGGTGAGTTCAAATCCAATCTTAATTGACTAGGATTGTTTTCCTACTGAGGATCGGTGGTTCTCTCTGGGCACTCCAGCTTCCTTCACCAATAAAAACTGACTGCCATGAGCTAGCCAGTAGTGCTGAAGCGGCATTTAACACCAATCAATCAACCAATAGCTAACAATACAGTATGGAGTGTGCTATACCATGACCTCAAGTGGTTTACATCCTTTAACTTTGGTCACTGCATGTTGATAGGTGCCTGTCTCATTAACAATCATACCATGTCTCATTATTTTTATAAACAGTGTTATAGATCAGTGTTTTTTTTTCTTTCATTACATGTTTTGTCATCTCAAACATTTATTCAATCATTGCATACAAGGGAATTAATTAAAGAAATAGAGAGTTGCTTCCCTTTGTACATACTTTCAAAATGAGTAGGTTAGCAAATGTGCAAATTCTGTAAATAACTTTTGTAATGGGAAACATTCATTTAAAACCATTACAAAATTCGCAATGATTTTTTCAAAATCTAGTTTGTTTGTTATAAAAGATAAATTACATGGTTTTTTTTTCATTTTTGGGTAAAAGTATTGTAAGTTTACTATAAAATTTAGAAAATTTTCTTACCTTGGTTATTTATGGCATATGTTTTCCAGCTGTTAATATTATCAACAATGATCTTGATGAGTAGGTCTCTAAGGTTCTTATGAAAATTACCTAGAAATAAAGTAATTGAAAGATTACTATAAAGTGTTTTTTTTGTTTGTTTTTTTTTTGCCAACTGATTTTGTGAATATGAGAGCAAAACCTGTTATATGTGGTTGTATTTTCATCTTTTTTCTTGTCTCTGATTCCAAACTTTCTTAACAGTAATGAAATGATATGTTGGTTCTGGTGAAATAAAAAAAAAATATGCACACAAGTGAAGTATCAGGGTTGTTCAGTTAAAATTTAAAGTATTTTTCAACATTAGAACTCTTTAATTGGTATATTTTCTATGTAATGCCCTTAAGCTTAAAACAAAACTCTGGGAAAATTTCACCACAATCAATATTCAAACAAGGTGTCTGACTTTCGAAATTATTTTTCACAGAAATTAACAACTATAGATCACCGTACGGCCTTCAACAATGAGTAAAGCCCATACCGCACAGTCAGCTATAAAAGGCCCAGAAATGACAATGTAAAACAATTCAAACGAGAAAACTAACGGCCTAATTTATGTACAAATAAACTGCTTCGCTGAGCGCAGCTAGATACGCCCGCAGAGGTCCAACCCTGAACAGTTGGGGCAAAAATGGACACAATATTCAAGCTTGATTCAGGTATGAATTTGGATTGTAATTAAATATTTGACATATTATAGGTTTCTGAATAAATGTAGTCAAAGAACTTGAAATTGGTTATATGAATTGAATTTATATTCAATTAAATATTTCTTGCTGTTGTGCAATACTTAGTATATTTGTTGTCAGACTATAAACAAATAAAGTTCAATTAATTCTCAATGTCATATCAGAAATTTATGAAAATAAAAAGGGAGCTTACATCAATAGATATAAACAATTCACCAAAGTTTCATGAGAATTGGTGACAGCATTTTTGAGTTATTGTCAGAAAACTGGAAAATCACCCCTTTTTTTAATGAATAAAACCCCATAACTCAGAAATGTAAAATGTAAAATTTATAAAAATCTAAAGGGAGCTTACATCAATACATACAAACAATTCACCAAAGTTTCATAAGAATTGCTGAAAGCATTTTTGATTTTTTGTCCGAAAACTGGAAAATCCCCCCTTTTTTTATGAATAAAACCCTGTAACTCGGAAACGTAAAATCTAAAATTTATAAAAATCAAAAGGGAGCTCATGTCAATAGATATAAACAATTCACCACAATTTCTTGCAAGTTGGTGAAAGCATTCTTGACTTATTGTCCGAAAACTGGAAAATCCCCCTTTTTTTAATGAATAAAACCCCATAACTCGGAAACTTAAAATCTAAATTTTATAAAAAACATAAGGGAGCTCACATCAATAGATATAAACAATTCACCAAAGTTTTATGCAAATTGGTGAAAGCATTTTTGAGTTAATGTCCGACATGTTGACGACGGACAGACGGACGGACAGACGGACAACGGTATACCATAATACGTCCCGTAAACGGGCGTATAAAAATGAACGAAAAACAAATATGTAACACATAAACAAACGACAACCACTGAATTACAGGCTCCTGACTTGGGACAGGCACATACATACAGAATGTGGCTGGGTTAAACATGTTAGCGGGATCCCAACCCTCCCCCTAACCTGGGACAGTGGTGTAACAGTACAACATAAGAACGAACTATAAAAATCAGTTGAAAGAGGCTTAACTCATCAGATGGATAAAAATACAAATACTACAAATACAAGTGGACGTGGCCGGGTACTTGTACATCCAAACAACAAAAAGACACTAGGTACAGATCTGAGAGTACTCGCAGTTACTGACAGCTAGTTCAAAGCCCTTATCAACTAATAAAAAAAATCATGCATGTAAGACTAAATTATCAATCCGTACACATCCAACATCCAATGGATTTAGTGTAAAGACGTCATAAACAGTCAGAGAAAAACATGACCTTGTGCAATGCCAAGATACAGGTATCGACAGATTGTAGATCAATGAATGTGTATATGTATATAACAATAATATTTAGTTTGCCTTTAATTTACTGATAACAAAATCAATATTAGTACCAATAAAAACAATATTTAATGACCTAATTACAGTGTTGAATTGGTAACCTTTTAGAATAAGTTTATTTTAAGGATCGATAAGTTTACCAGGATCGTTTCTAAAGTTCCAGGCACGGTAAACAATATTGCCATAAAAAAGAGGATGTGTAATCCCGTTTGAAATAAGTTTTCTACAGGTACAACCAAACTTCAAAACCAAATCTTATATCTGTGGAAGAATTTAGTAAAGGTTTTAAGTAATTTGTGGTAACGAAATCCCTGGCTTAATAATTTACCAGTAATACATAGATTACGTTTGTTTAAATCAAAAACGTCACAACAGACATGGGCATAGCGAACGAGTTGTGAAATATAAACACCGTAAGATTGTGCCAAAGGAACATCACCATCCAAAAAGGGAAAATTAACAATAGGGAACGAAAAATCGTCCCTTTTGTCGTAAATTTTAGTGTGGAGTTTCCTGTGTAAAACCGATATATCTAAATCTAGGAAAGGACAGTTGTTACCGTTTAAATTTGATTTATTTAAAGTAAGTTCCTTTAGATAAATTTCTGCAGTATATTGAGAAAATTCTTGATTATTTAACGAAAAAATATCATCAAGATAACGGTAAGTGTTGTTGAATTAATCAATTAAATGCAATTTAGACGGGTCTTTACTGAGTTTGGTCATAAACTGTGATTCAGAACAGTACAAAAACAAGTCTGCTATTAAAGGGGCACAATTAGTGCCCATAGGAATACCTACAACCTGTCGATAAACTTTGCTGCCGAAACGTACATTAATATTATCAAGGAGAAAATTAACAGCTTCAATCATCTCATCACACCTCCAGTAAGTATATCTAGCATATTTACCTTTCTCATTAGAGAAGAAGGCTTTAAATGAGTTGCAGCAAATATATTTGCATTCAGATTTACCAAACGACCATTTAATTAAAAAGTCAAATTTTTGTTTGATAAGATTGCATCGATTGTCCACCATTATAAAACTTGTCTGAGATATTGCTGATATTAACCTATAGTATAAGTTTTATAAAAATCTGGCAAAAATTGTATCCATGAGAGTGCTAACAAGGCCATTTTCCATAAATTTAATATTTCCAAGGGGCATAACTCTTTTAAAAAAAGTCGATCGTCCACCATTATAGAACATGTCTGAGATATTGCTGATATTAACCTACAGAATAAGTTTTATAAAAATCTGGCAAATATTGTACCCCTGAGTGCGCTTACTAGGCCATTTTCTATAAAGTTAATACATCCAAGGGGCATAACTCTTTTAAAAAAGTTGATCTGCCTTCATTATAGAACTTGTCCGAGATATTGCTGATATTAACCTATAATATAAGTTTAAAAAAAATCTAGCAAGAATTGTACCCGTGAGAGCGCCAACGAGGCCATTTTCCATAAATTTAATATTTCCAAGGGGCATAACTCTTTTAAAAAAAGTCAATTGTCCACTATTATAGAACTTGTCCGAGATATTGCTGATATTAACCTATATAGTATAAGTTTTATAAAAATCTGACAAGAATTGTACCCGTGAGAGCACTAACGAGGCCATTTTCCATAAATTTAATATTTCCAAGGGCATAACTCTTTTAAAAGAAGTCGATCAGCCACCATTATAGAACTTTTCCGAGATAGCTGATATTAACCTATAGTATAAGTTTTATAAAAATCTGGCAAGAATAGTAACTGTGAGAGCGCTAACAAGACTGGCAGGACAGACGGATACACGGACGGACGGATGCCCGGTATTTCCATGTCCCCCTCAACGCATTACGCGATGGACAATTGTGAATGGTTTTGGTTGAATGTAAAAAAACACTGTCACATGTCTATTTGCATCATAAAAAATTTGCACATACATAGATTTTTCTTTACTGACATATCAATTAATGAAAGATTATTTTCAATAAGGGACAAGAACACATAATTACCTGGAAACAGGGTCTGTAACTCTGTAGGACTTGTGTAACCTTGGAATATTGCTGCTTGTAAGAGTGATTTCAATGACTGCAAAACCTGGAATATGTAGACAAAAGAAAATTACAAATAGAGGAAAGAAGACTACAAATTGATTGATAAATTATGTTTGTTTGCTTCATGTCCAGTGGTAAAAATATGCATGCATATATTCAGAACAAGATCAATTTAAGCCATAAATTAAATAATAAAATTGAGAATGGAAATGGGGAATGTGTCAAAGAGACAACAACCCGACCATACAGCAGACAACAGCCGAAGGCCACCAATGGGTCTTCAATGCAGCGAGAAACTCCCCCACCCGGAGACGTCCTTCAGCTGGCCCCCTAAACAAATATGTATACTAGTTCAGTGATAATGCACGTCATACTAAACTCCAAATTATACACAAGAAAATAAAATTAAAAATGATACAAGACTAACAAAGGCCAGAGGCTCCTGACTTGGGACAGGCGCAAAAATGCGGTAAGTTTGTTCTACAAGTTGTGTTGAAAGGGATGAAGGTCAGGAAATTTTGACTGCAACTTAGAAACAATCTGATTAAAATCCAATGTTGTGATATGCTACGCTCCCTTCAAGGTGGAGAGTATCGTAGCAAAAACTAACAGCTGATTTTAATGAGATTGACTAATCTGATTGTGTTATCTGATCATCTGATATGGGCAGAGTTGAAGCCCTGTAACAGGTCGACTGATCCATCAAAGAGTAGGTGCAATGTCTTCTTCATACTTGGTACTATAAAAACACAAGGCTTAAGATTAAAATATGTCCTTCAGGACTTCCCATCTTAGGCCAATTAAAATTAATTGATAGATTTTCATCCCCGCCCGCCCCTCTGAAATTGTCCCGCCCCAATTTTTTTTATTTTGAAAAATTTACGATTTCCGGATTTTGTTCATTTTCGTTACACGTAACTGTCGATAATTTCGTTTCATTAATAACTTCCTGTTTCAAATTTTGGTTTTTGCATTTCTTTTTATGTTTGATTCGTTATACATGTATATACATGATAGAACCTTATTATTACACTTGCATATATGAAGAACACGTCACAAGAGCGTTTCATATCTAATAAAAAATAAAAAATAAAATCCTCCCACCCACCCCATTTTTTTCAAAAATTTGGATGAAAATCTACTAATTAAATTTACTTGGCCTTACTTCTAAAATTGAAGTAAAAAAAGAACAAATCTTTTTTTGTAAGATGTCCTTTGGATTGAGAATATTGCTACTAAATTTTTTTTCATGCATTTGACTTCCAAAAATTTGATTGCTAGCATGCTTGAAGTTGAACAAAGGAAGATAACTCCAGTTTTCAATATTATTTTAACAATAATAAAATGCTTCGCTGGGGCGCAGCTTGATACGACCGCAGAGGTCGAACCCTGAACAGTTGGGGCAAGTATGGACACAACATTCAAGCTTGATACAGCTCTGAATTTGGATTGTTATTAAATATTTGACACAGCATAGGTTTCTGACACAGAAAGAATGTGGTCTAAGAACTTGAATTTTTTTAATTTACCTATTATGGTCCAATGTCCAAAATCAAAATACATGGTTAGATTCAGCATATCAAAGAACCCCATATATTCAATTTTTGTTAAAATCAAACAAAGTTTAATTTTGGACCCCAACTTGGACAAACTTGAAAACTGGGCCCATAATCAAAAATCTAAACACATGTTTAGATTCAGCATATCAAAGAACCCCAAGAATTCAATTTTTGCTAAAATCAAACTAAGTTTAATTTTGGACCCTTTGGACCTTAATGTAGACCAATTTAAAAAACGGGACTTAAAATTAAAAATCTAAATACACGGTTAGATTTGGAATATCAAAGAACCCCAATAATTCAATTTTTGATGAAATCAAACAAAGTTTAATTTTGGACCCTTTTGACCTCAATATGAACCAATTTGATAGCGGGCCCACAAATAAAAATTCTAAATTCATGGTTAGATTCAGCATATCAAAGAACCCCATATATTCAATTTTTGTTGAAATCAAAAAAGTTTAATTTTGGACCCCAACTTGGACCAACTTGAAAACTGGGCCCATAATCAAAAATCTAAACACATGTTTAGATTCAGCATATCAAAGAACCCCAAGAATTCAATTTTTGTTAAAATCAAACTAAGTTTAATTTTGGACCCTTTGGACCTCAATGAAGACCAATTTAAAAAACGGGACCCAAATTAAAAATCTAAAAACACGGTTAGATTTGGCATATCAAAGAACCCCAATAATTCAATTTTCGATGAAATCAAACAAAGTTTAATTTTGGACCCTTTTGACCTCAATATGAACCAATTTGATAGCGGGGCCTACAAATAAAAAATCTAAATACATGGTTAGATTCAGCATATCAAAGAACCTCATATATTCAATTTTTGTTGAAATCAAACAAAGTTTAATTTTGGACCCCAATTTGGACCAACTTGAAAACTGGGCCCATAATCAAAAATCTAAATACATGTTTAGATTCAGCATATCAAAGAACCCCATATATTCAATTTTTGTTGAAATCAAACAAAGTTTAAATACTGGACCCTATCTTGGACAAACTTGAAAACTGGGCCCATAATCAAAAATCTAAAGACATGTTTAGATTCAGCAAATCAAAGAACCCCAAGAATTCAATTTTTGTTAAAATCAAACTAAGTTTAATTTTGGACCCTTTGGACCTCAATGTAGACCAATTTAAAAAACAGGACCCAAAATTAAAAACCTAAATACACGGTTAGATTTGGAATATCAAAGAACCCCAATAATTCAATTTTAGATGAAATCAAACAAAGTTTAATTTTGGACCCTTTTGACCTCAATATGAACCAATTAGATAACGGGGTCCACAAATAAAAAATCTAAATACATGGTTAGATTCAGCATATCAAAGAACCCCATATATTCAATTTTTGTTGAAATCAAACAAAGTTTAATTTTGGACCCCAATTTGGACCAACTTGAAAACTGGACCCAAAATTAAAAATCTAAATACACTGTTAGATTCGGCATAGCAAATAAATAAATGTGATCAAAGATTTTACAAATCTAATGCGCCATACTGTGCAATTAAAGATTACTTCTTGAAATTTTTCAATATTTGAAATTTGAAAAAAAAATAATATTTGAAGAATAATTCTTTTTAATTTCTGAAATCTGAAATGAGAAAAAATTGGCCCCCCACAATTTCTTTTTATCCCCCCCCCCCTTTTTTCCCCCAAAAAAATTCTTTCCCTCAAGATATGGTCATAATCTCAATTCAAATTTCCAATGGAGTTGGCAACCATAATTACCCATTTAAATTTACCATAGTGCTAACTTAATCTATTTTATAATAGAATTAATAAAAATATAGTGTCAAATCTTTCATATGGATTTTTTTGTAAAAAAAAAAGATAAAAACATTTGCTGATATTTTTACTGGTCTTCCTTCATAAATATGCATTTCTTTAAACATAATTTAAAAGCAGTGTAAGGGAAGTAACCAAAACGTTGTATTTGGATTACCTCCCTTACACTGTTTTAGATTATCTTTATTGTTCATTAACCATTACTTTATACATAATTTAAAAGCAGTGTAAGGGAGATAATTTCAATGATGTATTTGATTTATCTCCCTTACACTGCTTTAAATTATGTTTTGTACTAAAGTATTTGTCCATTAACCAGGACAACCTTGTTTTTCCCCCTTTTTTGCCCCTAATTCCTAAACGGTTTGAGCCATAACCCCCCAAAGCAAATCCTAACCATCCCTTTGTGGTATGGAAACTTGTAGTATAATTTCAGAGAGATCCATACACCGTTCCACAGTTATTGTCTGGAAACTAGAAAATGCTCATTTTTGGCCCCTTTTTGGCCCCTAATTCCTTAACTGTTGGTACCATAACCCCCAAAATCAATCCCAACCTTCCTTTTGTGGTATTTAACCTTATGGTCAAATTTCAAAAAGATCCATTCACTTAAACTAAAGTTAGAGTGCGAAAACCAATATGTATTCGGACGACGACGCCGGACGACGCCGACGCCGGACGACGACGACGACGACGACGACGACGACGACGCCAACGTCATACCAATATACGACCACAAAATTTTTTTGCGGTCGTATAAAAATTGCAGAAATTTTGTAATTTTTTTATCATTGTGAAAATTGTGACAAAATAGGCATCGCAAAAATAAAACTATGAATTTTAAACAATAATACTATTATTTATATGCAGCATTTACTGAAGTTTGAATAATTAATCATGCATATTTGTACAATTTATATAATTTTCTTGACAAGTATGGTTTTACAAAAACACATCATTTTGTAACTTGAATATATATCTGAGTATGTATTTCATTGAAAAATTTCTTGGATAGGCACTGTACAGAATATTGTGCTCAATGCACTAAATCTTTTTATCTCAAAAGTAGGGATAACGTCTGGAAACTATCAAGCCAGCCATATAAGAGTTGTAATGATTGTATGATTATATGGAATCTTTACTCCCCCACCCTACCCAAAAGAAAATCCTTGGATTAAAAGACCAGCTGGTCTACAATCACAAAAACACTTCTTTTTCAAATAAATTTAAATTAACTGGAAAGGGAAATAACTGGAGATATAATTTTTAACATTATCTGCTATTTTTATGTTGTTTTTTTATTGTTGTCATTTTTTACTTTGTATATTTTTGCTTTATACATTACTTTTATAATGTTAGACAATGAATTATTTTTAAAAAAAAATTCAAGCTGGAAAATAGTCTCTTAATAAAGTAACAATTTCTAAGTTCATCATTTGAATTTAACGAAGGTGGAAAATAGTATACAAATAAAAAAAAAATTTTCTCAATGCATTAATGGAAAGTTAAATGAAAGATTGTATACAAGGAACAAATAAGGATCTGGACAAGTTTTACAGAATACAGAATAATGGTCAAAAGCAATAATTAATGGAGAATATTGGGGTGCTAAACTATAAAGAAAATAGAAAAAAAAATGGGCAAAAAATATAAAGATCAGAGACAAATGGCCTAAAATTAAAA